TCCTCAAAATGTTGTCTTCACTCACAAGCGCTGTAAATACAAGGAAGGGTTTGGTCAGCAGCTTAGATGCTTTTAGCTGGGCAGATAGTATCAGGGCTTGTGCATAGTCCTGCGGGTGTCTGCAGCTCCTGGGGAGGCATTTGTTGTTTGAATAGAAGGAGCTGGACCGGGCGGCCGATGCCTGGAAGCGCAGCCTCCGCGCCAGCCCGGCCACAGTCTTGCAATTGTTCGGCCACTCTGGAGGGAAGAGGAAAAAAAAAAAAAAAGCATTCCAGGCAGTGCCAAATTTTCTTTGATATGTTAATCTTTTGATAACAGTTTGAAAAGCCCTTGGAGACTTTTTTTAGATTTTAGACAAAATAGTTCATTTGTCAGGACTTCCCTTGTAGATAGGGTCTCCGTTATTAAGAACTGCCTCGCTAACTCATGGTAACAAAAGCAAGTGCAGAGGACAGCTGCTGGACTGCTCGTTGGTAAGAGAAACTATTAGTTATCATTGGACTTGTTACAAAAATCTGAAAAGAATTAAATAAGGAGCATTTAAGATACAAATGTGTAAGTTTACTCATGTATTTTAAGCAGACAGATGATATGAGCATAAGCAAAATTAATAACTTGATAGTTTTTTATATGTATCCATACATGGATTTTATTAAAGACTTCAGCTTTAAAAATTATATTTTAATCGGAGAAATCTGGGGTTTAAATTATCCAATGGTTGCAGGAGATATCAAAAGTTTCTTCTTTTGGAGTTGTAATTTGTCCAGACTTTAAAAATTTTCTCTTGAAGCTATGAAACTGCCACTTATATTGAAAAACTGGAAGAATAAACAGACAGCAACAATGTGTGTATTATTTAGTTTTTAAGGATTTGGAATTGGGAGAAATGTTGAAGGCAACAGAGGGAAGATTGTCTTTGCTTCCCACCCCAAAAATGAAACTAAGGGTAAAATTTGCACTGAAGTAGTTTACTAATTATGCCAGCTGTTAGAAAACTGACTTGAGGTAAGCCAGTAGTCCTTTGAAAGTGTGGCTTGCATAAATCTTCAGGTGAACTGATGGAGACTTGCTCTGGTGCTTTTAGAACATTTTCCTTAATAAATACACCATGACTTCACTTGCACCTCTTATACTGTTGCTACAAATGTTTGTATAACAATATTACTTACAAATATTTTGGTACAATTGCTTGGTATCCTAGTTGTGTAGTCAGGATAGATGAACAAATACAGAGTGGTGTAGTAATTGAGACAAAGTGCAGCATTTTCTTCATTATGAGGGATGCATATAATTTTAAGCTCTGTACACTGCTGTAATTTCTTCAATGATCCAATTTGTGATTTATTTTAGCTTCAAATTGTATCAACTTAAATCTGAAGCTGCAGGTGCTGTCCTGTTCACGGCTGCACACTCTTCAGGACAGTAACAAATTGGAAATGCTGTTCAACTTAATTTTTATATGCTGTGTTTTGCAGGGTTGCAGATTTACTGTTTAAGCTTGTGACTCTAATGTATGCTCTTAGAAGTACTTAGAGTTCAGACACTGTTCAGCTGATCTCTAGACCATTTGTTAAATTTATACCTACATTGTTACAAAATGTTACAAGAGATTTTATTCTCTGAATCTCAGTGGCAAACTGCCTTTTCTTTTGCAGAGCTTTTTGATATTTCCTACTGCTCTGACTCTAGAATATGCTTAGCTATTCAATAGCAATGCAGTAAGTAAAAATTATGAGTGGAGTGATAGTAACTTCAGCATTTTCATTGGTTCTAAGTCTTCTTTTTTTAAAAGGTTGCTGTTTTCAATTTGTTAAAAGGGGCAGAGGATTTCTCTGCCTTTTCACTCCAGGGCCGGAGAGAGGCTCAGTGGCAGCCTGTAATGTGCATCAGAGGCACATTATATTTGAATATTCCCACGTTCATATTGCTTATTGCAAGTGGATTTCCACCTCACTTCAGTTTGAGTACTAGTAAAATGTTACACTCTCTCACTTGGTCTGGAAAGACCAAGGTTTATATTTAAATCTTTAATTGAAGGTTTAAAGTAGTGAAATGTCTAACTCCCCATCATATTATAGAAGGAAGGAAATAAAACTCAGATGCAGATTGCTAAAGTCTCTTCTGAATTGGTAAGATTTTTTCAGTCTGACCCAGCAGCCTGAAGTCACCCAAGGAGGCAGCACCATGTGGTGATGTTCAACCCCAGCTTTCAGCAGGGCAGGGGGACACAAACCAAAGAAATTACCCATTTGAACTCGAGGTGACATGCTTGGGCTGATGGTGTGCCAGAAGAGACATGATAGGAGGGAGAGTGCAGTTCTTTGTTGTGGAATAGGAATAATTTTCATGACCCATCAACGAAGAAAATATTTCTATAATGCTTTTTAAGTTTCGAGCTTTGAATTGGACTTTAATATGGAAAATTACCAGCAGTATGTGCCATGTTGAGAATGTGTGTTAGTTGAAGGTTGTTCAGCAAATGAGGCTGTATAAAATAATGCAGATGGAGCTAATGATGTGAGTCAGAAATAGCCTCCTAATTCTCCTCATGTATTCCCTGTCTGATTCTACCCAGCTGTTCAAAGAGCTTACTGAATCACAGGAATTATTGCTAGTGCTGAGATTTCTTTTCATACTTCTTCAGACCCACAACTTGATGTTCCTTCCCATTGCCTAAATGAAGGCAACTGCACTTTTCTCTCACACTGCCATGGTGTCCCATGAAGTCCCTATGCTGACATACTGGCCATGGAAATCTCAGTTGAGATCCATTGATATGGAAGCTATTTGCATTTATTTTTCTGTCTGGTGCTTTCCTGTATCAATTTCCTACTTGACGTGTCCATCAAGGTTGGAGAGTTGCCTGCAGGACCCTTTTTGATGTTACTGTGCATCATAGCAGGGAAGTGTGTGCTTGTTTAAGAGCAGACTAGCTCAAGTATGATTAACCTAATAATTCTTTCCTGGACCTGTGAACTCTATTAGGAGTATAATTCTGTAAACACACAGAATGTTTTCTGGCTGCATGACTTCTTGATTGAAAATTTGATTTGTATGGTGTACATAAAGTTGTTTGATGTAATTAATTCAAGATTGTCCTCAGGAGCTTTCTTAGCAGTCCTGTGTAGATTTAGGACAGATTTTAACTGGTTCTATGTATTATCTACACCTTTCCCAGGATAGAAAACTCCTTAGTTAAGAAAAGTGACAATTTAAATGAAAGTGTGGTTTAGAACTTTAATGACTTGTGTGGCTTAATTTCCAAATAAATCTGGAATAAAATTATAGTATAGAAATAGAAAATTTTTAGCTTAACAAGTGAAGGGAAGTGTGAGCTGATGTTCTAATCAAAGGAGGCAGTTGTTGCCAAGTTAGCTTCCTTCCATTCAGAACAAAATGCCAACTGAATCAATTTATGAAGTACTGAGCTGCTTCTCAGCTGAGACTCAGCTTTGGGCTGTGATGCAGTTCTCTCCTTTGAGTGTGTGTTTCTTCTACTAGGACCTTAGTCAGCAGTGGGAATAGATTTCTGAGGAGATCCAGTCTTGGGTAGTAAAATAAATCTTTCCTGTTGGGTTCCTGCTTCATTTATTGGGTTAAGTGGGAGGGGGATGGTAGGTGACACAAAACACGTGTGGATGTGATGCTGTAGATAAGCTGCAGGAGATGGGAGGAGGGATCATTCAAAGCTGGCATTGCTGGTGAATGTAAGTGCATGGATCCAGGGGCTGGCTTTGAGAGGATCTGACTTGTAGTCTGGTGATTTGGTTTGTGAAAATATTGGAGAGTTAATGACAGAGAAGTTGGTAGTGATTGTACTTAGTAACATTACTTATTAATAATAATATGTACTTATTAATAACAGCCTGAAAAAGGACAATTAGAGTAGCTGCTTGTGCTGTGACTTGAGGACTGGTTATAAGTTATGGTAGTAGGTGCTGTCTTCCGAGAGATTTATGTATGTGCAGTAAATAAAATTGAAGGCTGTACCATGTCAGTGCAGAGATTTGTAGTTAATTTGTGTCTTGGCAGGTGAGCACTGGCTATTTAGTGACTTTAATTGTGGTAGTTTTTTCTTCCTGTGCATTAATTATAAATTATATACAATTAACATGTACGGGGTGCCCAAATGAAGGTTAGGTGCAGTTTTAATTTCAAAAATTTGGCTTTTTGACATGGTACTTTGGATTTTTTTGCTTATGTGATGAGGAAAATTTTGATAAGCCTTTTGATTAGTCTTTGTTTGTAGCTCTCCCCTTTTGGAGTAGGGATCTGTGTGCACTACATTCATCTTGTAGACAGTGCCATATTTTTTCCATCTTGAATCTTTTCTGATTAATGAAAATGGTGATCATAATCTGTCCTCAAAGCACCTTTCAAGATTAGCAACTGTGGGAGATTTTTGATGCAAATTGAACAGTAGAGGCATTGGAAAGAAGGGGAAAGACCGATCAAAAAGCATGTCTTGATTTAGAATTAGTAAGCTGAGGACTAAATATTTTTAAGAAAGTATTTATTCTGCTCAGATGAGAAGTGTAGATCTCAGGGGTACTGTGCCTTTCCTCTTGAAACATAGCCTGACTTCTGAAAGCATCTGATTGGAACTGTTACATATAGAGTGATACAAATGTGTAATATTGACCTACTTTTAAGCTTTTTTTTTTTACAGGATTAATTGATATTTCCAGCATCAAGCTTGTAGAATGTACCAAAAACTGCTTGCTGCATGTAGAATGTAGCCAAGTTAAATTGGTACAAGCTTCTTCTTCCTCTTTCAAAGCATGATTTTTCTGCAGTATTTCACTTGTATTCATCTGATGTTCAGTCATAAAGCTATATAGACATCCTTGGATAGTTATTTCTAGAAACTAGTAACAGTGAAAATTGACGATAAGTATTAATATTTTGTCAGTGTTGTGTTTTATGTATGCACTTACCAAAAGTAACTTGAAACCACCTAAACTTAGGTGTAAAATCACCTAATTCTTGTCTTGTTGAAGGTCTTCCATATCTCAAGTTGAGAAGTTCCATATCATACTAAACATGGAGAAAGAAGAAAAGAAATATGTCAATAAAGCAGAGGAAGATGAGATGGTAATGAATTCTGTTAAACTTTTTTTTATACAATGAAAGAAACACATTTTCAGTGTTTTTTGCTTAAAGGGGGCGTATTACATCGGGAAGTGGATTGTCTCCATTTAAATTAATTTAGCAATTTGATAAGATTATCCTTGGCAATATTTTTTGGCATTAAGAAATTAGTCTTGGGGTAGGAAAGGTTTTTGTTAAGGTCAGTAGTCCAATAGATAACACATTTTGGTGCTTAACATTTCTACTTTTACACATGAAAATGGAAACAAAGTGAGTTGTGTTTTGGTTTTTTTATTATTACCATTATTTAGTTGTTCTTTGGTTAGTTGGGGTTTCTTCTCTCCAAATCCTGGAGATTTCTTGTTGTATTTTAAAACAGGTTAATGCTTCATAATGTGATTCAAAGCTGTAAGATTTGACAGGAAAGTACAAGCAGCTAATCTTTCAATTTCTAGCCCACTTGGGGTTCATAGGGATTTTTCTAGTCCATTTGGTATATATAGGGATTTTTGTTTCCAAAAAAGATAGGTTTCTTTGAACTGAAGTTCTTGTTCTGTCCTTGTCCATCCTGCTAAGAAAAGTAGTTCTTCACTAGACAGCTCTAATACAGAAAGTAAGCAAAAGCATCTTAGAACAGGAGGTGCTTATGGCCTCTTCACTAAAGTTAATATTTTTTTGAGGAAATAATTTTATTTTCTCCTAAAAAGAAGAATTAACTTCTCTCACCATCTTTCACTCTCCTATTTTTATTGCTGAAGAGTGTTTTTGAGGTAAGAGATATTGGGCTTTATTTCTGCTTTTTGTCATCAGAGAAGGTGGCAAACCAAACTTTTGAAAAGCCTTTTCTTAGGAAAGGAGTTTAAACAATTTCTAACACTGTTTAATGAAAAGTGAAAAAAACATCCAAGAAGTTCATGTCAGTATGAACAATGGGTGGGACTCAATGGGAAACTTCATTACCCTTTTACAGCAGGAAATATAATCTGATGATGTAATGTGAAACTCAGGAATGTAACACAGTGTCCAGTAAATCACTAAATTATTTTATGTTCCTGGCTGTCATCAAGTTAACTTGGTGCTTGCCCACTGGATACTTGGGAGTTTTTTCATGGGAGAAAAATTTTTCTAACTGTTGCAAGTTACAGAACCTTTGAGTGTGGTTTGGAGTTTGTAAATTAGCATTTCTTGTTAAATGGCGGGCAAAATAAGCAAAATTCTCTACTAGAAAGTGATGTTTGATATATTTAGGGGCTTTTTTAGAATGTATAAAATTCAGCCTGCAGTAGTAATTCAAAACTGTGAATGCTAGCTAATCAGATACTGTGTCATAAAATCAACATTTAATAAAACCACACACTTCTGCGCTTAAATGTTCAGTTGACTTGTGCTGTGTCATGGTCAAAAGTGTTGTTGTTCACTGAGAGTTAAGGCAGGTTGTGTTGCAACCTCAGTCCTTAGGGAGCAGTGCAGAGAGGAGACAGTCTTGCAATGAAATGTTTTACACGGTGTGGATGATCTGCCTCTGTCAGGCTTTTATTGGTGTTTATATTTCTGACTAAGCAAAACAGTGTTCCTTTTTGCTCCCACTCCACCATGTATTGTGTTCCAATTCTTTCCTTCCCCCAGAAAAGAAAAAAAGAGGAAATGGCTTTGAAATTTGATTTGCTTTAAATATTGCACATAATGAAAAATTAATGTCGGCATCCCAGGCACAGTAATTAAGAGAGTCATCATTCCTTGTTTTACTGCCATGCAGGAGGTCTATGGCTATGATCTGTGTCGCTGGAAGCTGGTGCTAGTTACTGTGGGAGTGATCTGCTCTGGTGGCTTTCTTCTCCTCCTCCTCTACTGGATGCCCCAGTGGCGTGTGAAAGCAACGTGCAGAAGGACGGCGCTTAGGGACTGTGAGGTGGTTCTGCTGAGGACGACTGTAAGTGTGCAGGGGATGCGCAGTTCCTCCTGTGTGCTGGAGTACACCAATCCCTGCCTTGCAGTGCGGGCATGATTGTGTTTACTGCAGTGCAGAATGGTGCTCCCGTGTGTAGCTGTGTGCCTCTGTGGGAAGGCTGACAGCTGTTTGCAGTGAGCGTAGCATAGTCTGTCTTTCAGTTGTAACAATCAAATACAGGAATGCTGTTGTCATCAACAGTTACAGAACAAATACCTTGTTCCTATAAGCTGAAACATGGTTTCCCCTCCCTTGTTCAGCAAAGATACATTTGTTGAAGTTAGGTGTAACTGCTGTTACAAAGTGCAAAAATATGCTTTTAGAATTGTGGAAAGAAAATTATTCTTAAAGTAGCTGATATTAACATGGAGATATGTTCTGTAATTCTGTATGGGCTCTGCTGCTAATCTGTGATCTGTGATTTTGCTACAGCTGTTGTAGCAAAATGCTGTAAAATGCTGTTCAGATGCTCTTTCAGCTAACTCATTTTCCCCTCTCTTCTTAAGGATGAATTCAAGATATGGTTTTGTGCAAAGGTTCGCATTATGCCTTCCTTGGGAGCCAGTCCTTTACAGAATCCTAACCCTATCATGCACAAGGTTTCAAATGGCCATGCTGTTCATTTCTCTGAATCTGCTGCAGAAGAGAATAAAAATGATTCGAGAAAACATTTGCCTGTAAGTGAACTTGTAATACTGTGCTGGCTAATTCTCAAGTACTATTGAGAATAAACACACACAGTACAGTACATGTGAGCTGCTACTTTTGTCTGAAAGGCTAACTCATTTTTGAGTGGAACAGAAATCTCCTCAATAACCTGTTACTGGAAATTTTGGAAAGCTTGAAAGATTATGTTGAAAGAAAAGTACTCATTTTTCAGTGAAGCTTTTCTAAATTCAGTTTTTGTCACCTCTCAGAATAAAGTCAGTCAGAAGAGAAGTGTTAAGTGGTACCAGTTTGACATCTATGTTTTGTTGCCCTTACAGATTCGTTACTTCACACATCACAGTGTGAAGTATTTTTGGAATGATTCAGTTCAAAGTTTTGATGTTGTACGGTAAGAATATTTTTTCTTATGTGTTGTGCTTCAAACTGTATTTAAAAAAAAATAGCATGCCTAAGACCATGCTGAAAATTGGTGTTATTTTCTGACCAGCTGTTTTAGCTCATTGAGTCTTTGTTTTAACCATAGTGAGGGCAGGGAGATTTTAACTCAGTGCGAATTTGGAAGGAAGATGTTTGTTTAACCTGCCTTTATCAAATGTGATTTGTGTAGGGTGGCAGGCTGCATGCTTCTGCAGGCTTTTTTGCCTTTTCTTGGAGTGTTACTTGAGAATCAGAGCACCTGTTCATAGACAGTAGTACTTGTATAAATACTCAAAGGCTTTGCTTATGATGAAATAACTTACATTTTTTGTGTTGCTGAGCTAGACCCAAAAGGAGTATGTAGGAAGAAGAGGAATTCACCAAATACCTTTTTTGCTCATGTTTGTGTAGGTCTGTTTCTACGTTTTAGTGCAGTTGAGCTGGATCTGATCCATCTTTTGTTACTCTTTAGTAACAAAAACAGGTCTATTGCACTGATAAAAAATGTCTTTTAGTGGGCAGCACTACCTTGTGATGCACTGTATTTTCTTTTGTCCAGCAACACTGTTGCATGATGTTAGGATTGAAGAAGAAAGTTTTTCTTTCTGTGATAAGGTCTTCTCATAATGCCACAAGTTAAATGAGCACAGGCTTCTCCATTTTTTGGCAACTGCCCATTGAAACAATAAATTCAGATCACAAAATCTGTTTTAAGCTTGAATTAGTATTTACTGCATTGAACCATCATATGGAGATGGGTTTTTTTCCCAAAAAAGTGTGTGCAAATAATATGGAAAATTACCAGCAATGAAAACAATTTTAAGAAATTACTTTAACACAAGCAATTACAAAACTGACCAGTCCTTATCTGAGAGGGTGGAAATGTCTTCCTTCTCAGGAGTAAGTAATTAAAAGCTTTGTGTGCATTTTTTGTGTTAAGCCTCCCATGAAATACAGTTGTGCAGGTAGTGACACTCATCATTTTGCATTGCAGTCTCCTGTTTTCTTGCCTACAGTGCTCCTAATTTAAACTGTTCAAAGGGAATAGTTCCCACAGATGAGATTAAGAAACTGTACTTGTATGTTAAGAGCAGGTATTGGAAAAAAATCATATGACTTCATGTGTTTAGAAAAAAATGTTGTTCCTTAGCATTAAAGCAGTGACTTGAAACTTGGCATTTGTGGCTATTTGACTGTGCCTTTTGATGTTCTTGTGATAACTTGGCCAATTTATAAGCCCTGGAAAAATCTCAGATATGCCTGTGAAGTTATGTGAGCATTTATTCAATCACATTCTTGCTGATAAGCCAAACTTTCATTTGTTTGATGTATTAGCCATGACTGAGCCTGGCCACTTGTTTAGTCAGGTACAGTAGCTGAGCTGGACAGGATTATTTAGCTATTGAATAATAAAGAGGAGAAAGAAGTGGATCTGAGACATACTGGATACTGTTAGAGCACTAAGTCACTTTTCCACAAGGTCAGATTAAAATGCCAGTTTGTTGCAACTTTCCTCTAAAGTGGATGATCATCTAGTGAAGTACTAGATACCATGTGTAAAATAATATCTGAGCTTGTGAATGATAAATATTCTGAAATAAGGTCTTGAAAAATTTGTCTTTCTCTAAGATATGTCTTCTTATTCTGCTCTTCAGTTTATATGTACAAACCAAATAACATGGTAGAGAATCAAGTTAATATTTATAAAGAGACAGCCTGTGAGACAGAGGTCTTTATAGTAAAACCCTTAAACAGGCAGCGTGTTTGTAGTTGTGATCTAAGCACAAGACTGCATCATGAAGAGCATTCACTTTGGGCTGCTACTTATGCAAGTACTCAGAGACAGAACAGTTTGATCACATCATGAAAGGCTTAGCACAGCACAGAAGGGGGGCAAATTAAGATTTTTTGGGCAATTAATTCAGTTATGAGAGCTTGAGTTTCATATCATTGTTCTTTTTATATTACCATAATATTAAGATCACTGTTTTAAACACAGGAAATGCAAGTGTAATTGTTCTTGGACGAAGTCAGACTTGGCCACATGGCCAAAGAGGATGCAACTCTGACCTTGGATGTCTGTTTTGTTTTAGCTACTGTCAACTGAATTTCTGAGTGGGTTGATGAGTGCTTTATATAATAAACTGTGCACACGGGGATTTTAATGCCCTGGGAATTCAGTCTGTAGCAGTAGTGTAAAAAGCAGAGAACACCGTGCTAGAAGCTCTGTCCTTGCATGGACATTGCACACATAGGTATGAATATTTGCATATAGAGCACTTAAATTTAGGGACCCTCCTTAAATCCACTGTTACATTTCTTTTCCTACAGGAAAAGTTGTTGATGGTAGAGTGGGAGGAGAGACGCAGCTATTAACAGAGTTTTGTGTATTTTTAATCTAAAATAGTATTTTTAAAATCCTCGAACTTAAAAAAGTTTAGAGAAACCTGGTAAACCTAGAGCCAGGTTAACACATAATTTTCATCTCTGTTCTTGTACAAGCAGTTGGTGGAAACGTGATCCTAGGCTTTGCAGTAGTGAGGATATTTAAAGCTTTCCCTGTGTTCTAGAGAATGGAAATAATTGCTATGAAATATGCACAATAAAGAGTTGGGTTTTTTCTTTTTTTCTACTGGGACAACTCTGAATCCTTTTTGACAGATAAGTTAATAGATATCCAATATATGAAACATTAGTGTGGAATAACGCTGCTTTTGTCATGATGTTTGTGAAAGCCTTTTGGAAGTGATATTTTCCTGTGCATCCACAGTATGTCCATGAGAAAATGCCTGGATATTGGGCAGCATACATTTGATTTAGTGCATTTGATAATTAACACAATCCCATAGCTGTAAACATAACAATGTTTTAGATTTTTCTGCATATCTGTAGATTTCCTAAAGCACAGCATTGGCTTTCACAGCATGTGGAGAAGTCCTGTGAAAATGAGTCTTCTGGTGATAAGAAAGAACTGAAAATGTAGGATGCATTTTTCCTTGTCATGGATAACACTGTGATAGTAAGATGCTGTAAAATAGCTGTGGTATAGATTTATTTAATAAATTGATTAATAATTATTTCTAAAAAACTTCCATCACTACTTAGAGTCAAATGAAGATAATTTGAAGAAATGTTAATCCACATTGATTTCATATAACATTTCATAAAACTTGCTCACTTTTTAAAAGCCTTTGAATACTAGTTATGCTAGTATTCGACTTCATTTTTTAAATGTCTCCATTTTGATTGGAATAGGTATGACTACCTTACAGAGTAAGATATATCAACATGAAGATTGCTTTTAATGTGTCACTGGTATCTGCAGTTGTGACAAAACCAGTTAAGAACAAATTAGTCCATAGATTTTGTTGTTTTATAAAACAGTGTGTACCTCTTGCCAAAGACCTAGCTCTTTTGAGTCACTCAAGACTTAATTTTAAATATCAGATTTCTTAAATAACTCATTGACTTTTCCTTTATTCAGAGGTCTAGATGAATCTACCTTCTGCTCTGCAATTCATAATGAACACAGCACAGGACTGACAAAAGGAATGCATGATTACAGGTAATATTGCAGTAGTATTTGGGGGAAGAGGTGTTGATGTTTTATTACCTGTGCTCAGGGTGGTAAAAAGCCCAGAAGACAATTGAGTGATCAGTGTCTGATTTTTTTTGAAAATCAGATTAAAATATGGGAGCATCTGCTTGCTTATCAATTCATCTTCTGGCAATTTGTGTCTAAAATAAAAGCCTTTCCCCTCAGATAATTTTAAGGGCTTTTTCATGTCACTGTCATTTAATCAGCTCTGATCCCATTAGGGCTTGGTTTCTTGCTCTCTCTTTCATGATTTGGCTTTCTTCCTTCTAAGAATAAAATTAAGATACAGGACCTTGAAAACATTGTCTTACTGTAGGGTAAGAGTTAACACGGGTTTAAGCTTAAGCTAATGAGAATTGCATACTGGATTTCAGAATGACATATTTAATAACCTTGGACTCATACACAGTTTACAGAAAAATCTTATTATGAAAGAATCTAAAAAATAAGGTACAGTTTAAATTGAAGTATAAAATAATTATCTTTGTATTGGAACATCTCACTAGGTAAATGCTTTCTGAAAAGCACTTCTTGAAACTATGATAAATAAGAAGAGTGTCACAGATTTGGGACATGTTATACTTTATCAGATTAGCAGAATTCCTTTGACATCAATAAGACTTCTAAAAAAATCTTAACTTTTTTGTATTTTTCTTTTTTTAATGCAGAAAAGCATTCTATGGAGTAAATGAAATTGCTGTGAAAGTGCCTTCCATTTTTAAGCTTCTGGTTAAGGAGGTAAAATCTTTTCTTTAACAAATTATAGGTAAAAGTATATAATTGAAAGTTGTTTCAGGTGCAATGACTATTGACTGTTGGAAACCTTCCCCTAGAGCCCAGCATTGTAAAACAAAATCATATGGACAATTGTTTTGAGCTCTCCAGCTCTCCTTAGAGCTAAAGATCAAAGAGGCCTCAGCTATAAGCTCTCCAGAGTTTACAGCCTGGTGCCTTAGTAAGGACATTAGAAAACATATCAGAAAACATATCAGAATTCTTTGAAAGGGTCAGCATCTTATTTATTTTTTGTAGTTAATTGAAAACATAAAATGACTTATGTTCTCCATGAGGAGGCGAGGGATTATATATAACAACATAATCAGTAAATCAAATGTAGTCTTGTTGAATTTGTTCAGTTTTCCTTGTATCAGGTGGATTTGAATAACTGGTTTGTTATCTTGTGTTATAATAATGCACAGTAGAACTTCTGAACAAAGAAACTCTCCAACCTGATCTAAAGGAATAAGAACTTGAGATATCAGGGCATTTATTAAGAATAAATAGAAAATAATATCCAAATTGGTTTAAGAATTATAACTTAAGGTGCCATCAGATATTTCCATTACCTTGTTTTGAGGTGTAGGGGAAAAGGCATTCAGTCTTCAAAGTCTGTATTTTGTGTTATTTGAGTGAGCACTGTGATTTTGAGGGGCTGAGGAGGTAGTGAAAAAAAGGATCATTTTGGCAAATCAAAAAATATGTATAAAGAACTGAAATTGTCTTCTCCCTGGAGGAGGATAATTTCAGCTTTGTTCTGATGGAAAACCCATGTGACCTTTTGGTGTAACTAGAATGTTCTGTCACTCTTCTAGGTTCTCAACCCTTTTTACATTTTCCAGTTGTTCAGTGTGATATTGTGGATCACTGATGAGTATCACTACTATGCATTAGCAATTGTGATTATGTCTGTAATATCCATTGTTAGCTCACTCTACACCATTAGAAAGGTAAGTTCAAAGAAAATGGATGCATCTTTTTGGCTTTTTACTGATTGCCTTATTTTGTTGTGAAATTGTCTACAAATCTTTAAGAATTTTTTAGTTATACAGATAGAATATTGTTATGCATTTTCCCTCTTTGAGCTGAAAGAATTTGGATTTATAGTTTTCTTGGAGACCTTTGCAGACTTTCCACGCTGATGAATCAATGGGTTGGCCTCAGATAACAGAAACACTACCTTGCTTAAATAAAACATGGACACAAGTTTATGTACCAAGTTTTATTGACAGTAGTGGTTCCATCTTGCGTTGTTTCCTTGTCTGAAAAGACCCTGCAGAACTGAGCACCAGTGAAGCATATGGATTGTTAAACTGGTGATTCAGTTTGCTCTGTAGACTTAGCTGATGGGAATCAAAGTAGTAATTACCCTTAAATTGCAATCTCTGAATTCAGTCCAGAGACAAAAAAAATCCAAACAATTTCTTTCTTAATACAAGTTCATAGAACTACTGCAGCTGTAACTTTTTTATGTTAATGACCAAATGATTTTATAAGATTTTGCATGACAATGTATGCTTGCTTCCAAAATGCTGTTAAAATAGGAGCTTGTACAGGTTGGTGCTCTCAAACTTTATTTGCCCATAAGTTTTCTAAACTATGTTCAAGAGAATGTTTTGAGTAGTGTTTTGTTGTTAAAGAATGTTAGTAGAGAATCTCATCACTTCTACTGTAGAATGTGCATTTAGAAGAAGACAAGCTGTGCTTTTGAATAACGAATTTTTCTCCTCTTTGCAGCAATATGTTATGTTACATGACATGGTAGCAGCTCACAGCATTGTAAGGGTTTCTGTCTGCAGAGGAAACCAAGGTAAATTTCACAGGTTGTTTGGAAGGTTGAATTTAAATTGCTCGTGAAGTGTGAGTGTAAAGTGGGTCTGAATCTGTTCTTCTTTGATCAGCTTGAAATGCTTGCATTCCTTAGCAAAATTGCATGTGAAAAGAAGTTCAAAGTGGAATTTAGATAGTATAATGTGTTCAGGGTTAACCTTCTAGATGGAATTTTCAGTGAGTATCAGGTTTGTTCTAGATTAGGTGCTTGTTCTGTTGCTATTTCCCATTCTCTACCATTCCACTTATGTAATTGTCATTCTGGTTTCTTTCCTGACTTGAAGATGTGCATGCGTTGGGTCTCCATTATAATTTGTTACCCAACAAAGGCTGCAATATGATTTCTGAACTATCCGAAGGATATATATATATATTTGGATACCACAGCAGTTGAAGGTGTGGTATCTAAAAGGTTGTGATGCATGATATTGTTTTTAAGACATACATTTGTGTTGAACTCATATCTTTATACTGAAGTTACACTATAGCTAATCATGAATATCTTTTGTACAAGCTTGATTCTTTTCATTTGTCATGATGTGTTCTATCCATGTGCTCTGGAGGTTAATCTGTGGTGGAGTTGGGGTTTATCAATGCCTTTTTCTGTATATTTTAAAAATCTTTTCATGCCATTAATTAAATGAAGTTGTACTTCATTTTATTAATAGTCATACTTGTCACCACCTGGATATTGAATGTGAGGATCTTTATCAGGTTTCATAGGTGGTGGCTATTTTCAAGTAAACTTGTTTGTGTTCTAATATTCAGAAATAGAAGAAATCCTTTCCACCGACCTTGTGCCTGGAGATACCATGTTGATTCCATCCAATGGGACAATTATGCCCTGTGATGCAGTTCTGCTCAGTGGTACTTGCATTGTAAATGAAAGTATGCTAACAGGTAAAGTGAATTTGATACACAGTGCTGCATGGCTAAAAGTACTGTTTATACCTGTGTGCATGCTTACTTGCAGTATGTTTTAGCAGAAGTGGATATGTTTATTTTGTTTGAAATGTGTATGTTCTTACAATTAGATGTGTTCTGAAGTACATAGGTACTTGTGTCCTACTTATCTGCAACAGCTACCTAATACTCCTTGGAAACTCCAAAAACGAGTGGTTGTTTCTTTTTAAAAGAATTTCTTCTTGATAGTTTGTCTTCCTACCTCTTAACTTGATGTTGTCAGTGCAGATGGAGTTCAGAATATGCTTGATTTATATGACTATGCTTGATCCTCTTGCTGCTGCTAGCAACTGATAAAAATTGATTGTTCCCCTAGCTTGAGTGCACACAAAGGAGCTGAGAATAATTTTCTTCAGCTTCTAGTTTTTCTGAGTAAAGATGTGGGTAATGCTTTTCAGCAAGAGAAGGAGGCTTGTCCTGTTTTTTTTTAGTGAACTATGTTTTACATCACAAACTGTGATTTGAAGTAAGGGACACAGAAGTTCTGTAAGGAATAGAGTTAAATAGTATTTGGGTAAGGGATCTGCTGAGCTGAGGCTAATAGGTGAGAGACTACCTAATAGCATGCTAAAAGGAAGATGACTTCCATAAGTCTGCCTGTGCTGCTGAAGTGAGGTTATGTTATTCTACTTGTAGTTGTGAATGAAAAAAATGTCTGTTCTTCTCTGATCTTGCTTAGAGACTTTCTTTCCTTTAAGGTGAAAGCGTTCCTGTCACAAAGATTAATCTGCCAAATCCTTCGGAATATCCAAAAGCAGTGGGAGATGAGATCTACAGTCCCGAAGTGCACAAGCGGCACACGCTGTTCTGTGGAACCAACGTCATTCAGACCCGCTTCTACACCGGGGAGTTGGTCAAAGCTCTGGTAGTGAGGACAGGTATTGATTGTTGCATTTATCCCTCGTTAATGTACTATTCCTTTTTGCAGGTGTATGTCAGCTGGCTGATGCTGCTAAACTTGGTAAAGGAATGTACCCCAAATAGCTTGATAAAAGTCTTAAAATAATGATAAAACTAGATGATGGTCTGAAGATTAACAGTTGGCAAGGAGAAAAGTGAATCAGTCTCCCGCATCAATTTAAAAGTTATTTGAACGTGTTTTCATGTCCTTTAGAGGTTTTTCTGTAGTGTGTTGTTGAACTGCATGTGTCTCTTGGAAAAGGTTTGGGTGGATAGTGGGGAGCAGCTGATTTTAGCAGTGTCATTCACAGTGCCAAATGTTTTTCTTTATCTATAGTTATTTCAAAGTCCATAACATTTGCTTAAAAAATGAGTTTGATCTAGCTACGGAAATACTAATTCATATGTTAGAGATCTGGTGTTAAATAATAGTCTGTGAAAATCAATTGCACAAGCTAGAACAATTGTGGGATTCTGCTTTACAAAGATCATCTTAAGAAAATTGTCACAAAATAAATGAATGCAAGCTATAATCTAAGGTACAATAAAATTACATAGAAGAAATTGGGCTATTACTTAAAGCAAGTTTTCCAACAAATAACTTCATGCTAAATAGCTGCTTCTTAATCTGGTGTATTCTTTTCACCTTCTGTTAGTCTACTTTAACAGTAGAAGTTCTAATTTTTTGTTTTATTCTCTTTCTTGAAGCTTTTATTGGTCTTTTCTTTCAAATAGATATTTTCCTTCCCTTGAACACATCTGCCATTTATTAATATCCATCTCAACTTGTTTTGTTTCTTAAATAAATTCCGTGTGCCCAGCCAGTGTGCATGTACAGCAGGATGAGCCCAAACAGCAGCAGAAATGGACTGCTGAAGGCATGTTGCTTCTGCTCTGCAGGAAGGATAGTACTTTTTGTTTTGAAATCTGATACTATGGTCTGTAACTCTTACAAGGAGCATTGCCATTGCTCCCAGCACTCTTGAGTCTTACTGCCCTGACATTGGAAGCTGTGTTTGTAAAATGTTCTTTGCCCATGGCAGGTCCAAGTTAGCTCCTGTTGTAAGCAGGATGAATTCAGCTCTGTGGGCTTTATTCAGGTTTTTTGTATGGACAAATCTGATTTTCCTGCTATGGCTTTGTATAGAGAGAAGCAAAGTGCTGCAAAATTCTCTGTTCTTAGTTTTTAGGCAAGAGGGAACTTCCCTCTCCACGGAACAGGATAGATGTCACAGCAGTTGCAGCTTCTTTCTCCTATAATGGCTGGTAATAAGAACTAAAGCAATTCTCACTCAGTGAGATACAAGTAAAAATCCCTTTATATAAGGGAGGGAAATGCCACAAAATTGAAAGTATTTAAAAATCTAGTCCTTAAATGATCTAGGAGAACAGAACTCAATACGTTTGTGTGCAAAGGCATGTAGTCCTTATCCTAAACCAGTATATAAGATTGATCTGCTGGGGCTATACTCATAGTACTCTTCAAGTTAAGCCTTTAACATATGTGATGTTACAGCTGAAATACATGTAAAATGTATTAATTTCTTCCCTCATAAAACTCAGTTGATGGATGTTGTTGTGGCTCCTATTTGTAATTGAAAAGAATTCAAAACTGGTTATTTTGCTTTAGAGAACAGAATTGTGCACTAAAGTTATCTCTATATCCAGTGTGTTCTAAAGACACCCCATGAGGTTTTAATTTTTTGTTTTACCCTGATGTGCTCTATCCTGTGTAGCTGCAGAACCTTCTGCAAAACCATGGGAAAAAAATAGAAAGTAGTTCTGATTTTTTTATCAATGACTGTGTTGAATTACAAAGCATTCATTGCTAGATACTCAAGTACATACAGATATGGTGAACTTCTCTGAACAGGCCCATGGTTCATATTCTGCAGTAGCAATTTCAAAGCCTGGAGGCTTCATGGCTTCATTTTGTGATGAGCTCTGTTGCTCTGTTTTGGTAGAATCCTCTGTGCCAAATGTCAGGGTTCAGCCTTTTCTGTGGTGGCCTGCACACAGAAAAGCTATCAGGGAGCTGTCACTGATGACAGAAGACCTGGCATTGATGTTGAGGTTGTAGTAATAGACTTTGAAGTCTAAGCAGATGAAAAATGTTTTGGGCACACAAAATTGGGCATTAATGTTGGGCTCTTTAAACATTGAGGCAAAAGTTCAAGGAGGACCTTGGGATATCTGTTGGTTGTTCAACTGTAAGACCTTTAGACGGATACTCTCCTAGTTTAATTGTCAAAATGCCTTCAGGAGGGGCCCTTCTCAGAAGATGACTCCCTGTCCTGCAGTTTTTTCTGAATCTTTCATTCTGGCTCTCAAGGGAACTTAAGGTGACCTGCCATTTAAGTATTTAATGTTGGACTCTGAATATCTTAATTTTATTTTTTGCAAGGACTGGCTTAATTAGACAATAAATATATCCATTAGCTCTGCACTAAGAGGGGCAAAATGCAGTACAACAAACTCTGCCAGGCCAAACCATGTGAGGATTTGCTGCTGCTGCAGAGGAGGGGTTTGTTTGCATCAGCTCTACGTCCTTGCCATAGGAGAGAAGCCCTTAGTATGATGTGCACGTATAAGCACCTTAATTACAGTATTGCAAAACATCTGCTATGGGTATTGAGAAACAGTTGTAATGAAATTAGTAGCTTAAGGGTTTTATTGAGGTTTTTAATATATTTTAATAGCTTTGCTTTTCTTTGTATTTTTAATAACTTACTCCTTTTTTATTTCTAGGCTTTAGTACTGCTAAAGGACAGCTTGTTCGTTCCATACTGTACCCAAAGCCAACCGATTTTAAGCTCTACAGAGATGCCTATTTGTTTCTCCTGTCTCTAGTGGTGGTAGCAGGCTTTGGGTTTCTTTACACAATTGTCAATAGCATCTTAAATGAGGTATGTTTTCATTTCTGGTCCAGAAATGCCTTATTTTAGAAAAGGGATGACCATGACTTCCATCACACTTCAGATGCTGAGAAACTATTTGATTTCAAGTGAAAATTTTTTTGCTCTATTTTATATCAATGAAATGAGACAAGGTTACTGAGAATAAAATTCAGCACAGAAGCAGAATTTGAATATCTTACAGGGAAATTTGAGTTTACCTTGGTTTCTCTTGACCCAATTACTGGATTTTTATCTTTGATATATGTAAGATTACCAGCTGACTTACAGACAGTTGAAAGAAATAGGATACAGTCCATCTAAAACATGCTGCAGGGAAAAAAATCCTTATCAAGGAATAACCTGATAATTGTTAAGTTTTTTGGTTTGGTTTTTTTTTTCTCTCAAAAAATTTTGTATTATTCAGCTAATGTTTTAAAGTAATATATTTCCAGAAGTTATGTTTTCAAACATAACTTTCAAACATAAATTTCAAATTTGAAGTTATGGGTTGTGTATAATTTAGTACTGGATTATTGTGGTTGCTGATGGGGGGTGAAGATTGTGCTAAATTTCTGGGCAATCCAGAGCACACTGTACTGGGGAAAACAATGTGTGGGTTTTGCTCTTGGTAGCACGTCAGTGGGACAGTGAATCTGTAAGCAGCGAGCTCTTGTTCATTAACTCTGACCTCTGTGGCAGGTTCCAGCTCGCACCATCATCATTGAGTCTCTTGACATTATCACTATCACGGTGCCTCCAGCACTCCCTGCTGCTATGACTGCTGGCATCGTTTATGCACAAAGAAGGTTGAAAAAAATTGGCATCTTCTGCATTAGCCCACAAAGGATAAATATTTGTGGCCAGCTGAATCTTGTGTGTTTTGATAAGGTAGGTGAATTTTGAAACCTTGCTACCTGAAGGAGCATTGTCTTAGAAAATGGAGTTTGTATAGATAAAAAGGGAGAACTCTTCATTTTTCATGCGAGTTAGATGATTTGTGATGCGTTAGCCTCCAGGTATTCAGTGTTTACCATCTGCTCTAAAAAGTTGTTGTAATTGAGCTGCTTTCTTATCTCAAGACTCCCAAGTCCCAACTTACTACTGGCAGCTCAGAAATGTGAGAGTTGATGTTTACTAAGAACTTTATTTAGCACACAAGCTTCTGAAAAACTTAAGTGTGAAGTCAGACTTTTTCTCATTTTCATTCATTTTAAGGAAAAACTGAGCGAGTGTATTTTGTTATTATTTGTTAAGCAAACATGAATTGAAGAGAGTAATGCTGCTAGTCAGAATTCTTTGCTTTTGGCTATTTCCTAGATGAAATTTATTTTCCTCCTTAGATTTTATCTCAATAATATAATACTACCTGTATTATTTCAGCTCTAAATACATTTCAGTTAGTGTTTTAACTATGTAAGATAGTACTAATGGTTTAGCACCCATTTTCCATTGTCCCCAGTCCCTGAATATTGAGATGATATGCTATCATCTTTGGATTTTAAGGGTCTGTTTCATTTGAACAACATGTTTATGTTTTTGAAAGTTATTTAACAGGTTTGGAACTTAATTACTAGTAAAAAGTAAGGGACATACTGTATTTTCTGTCCCGAAGTCTTGATTTGTATGTGAAAACAAAAGAAAATATATTGTTCAAGTGTAATTTGCTTAAATAGCTGATAATTTTTGCTTTGCTGGAAGATAATTTGTTTCTGAAGGCTTTTTCTTCATGCCATGGCCCTTGGTCTCTTTTGCAGACTGGCACACTTACTGAGGATGGCTTGGATCTTTGGGGAATTCAGCGGGTGGAAAATGCTCGGTAAGGATGAGCTCAGGGCTGATAGCAAATAGGATACTCACGTTGTACTGTAACAGCTTCAGCAGAATAGAACAGAAAATTCAGTGTGAGCTCATACATGTTTACATTTCTGTAATGTGCTGTAGGAATGCCACTTAAGCTGTGGTTTAGGTGTAGTGGAAGTTAAAACTCCAAGTGAAGCTGAGGTAGAATTTTATTTGTTAGAGTCTGAGACCTCTTCACGGTCATTTTGCAAAACTGTTGCAGGTACTGTTGCATATTTCTTTAATCCTGTGCTCCTAAGCAATGACTGTTCAGGCTGCTAAAATGAATTAGTTTAGCTAATTAAGTACTAAGTGATAAAAGGGCTTTGTATGAGAGATCAAACTAGACAGGGAAGGAATGAACACTGAGTGTTTGAAGGAGGAAAAAGTTGTGATAGCTTCTGAAGATTCCAGCCCAGAGTCTTACTTTGTTTTCTGTGTTGTGTGAAAACACAAGTGAAGGGACTTGTGCAGTCAATTTTCTTCTGTTAATCTAAACAAATCTTTTGAAGTGGCTCATAATAAATAATTATAGTGCTAAGTATATTATTACTTCATTGTTTCAGTTTCCTTTTGCCGGAAGAGAGGGCTTGCAGCGAGAGCTTGCTGAAGTCAGAGTTTGTTGCTTGCATGGCAACTTGTCATTCCCTTACAAAAATTGAAGGGGTGCTTTCTGGGGATCCACTTGATTTGAAGATGTTTGAAGCAATAGGATGGGTAAGTGCCTTTTTTTCCCTGAATATTGTATTATGAACAAGTCAAAGTTAATGAATATATAAATTAGTTGATTTTTTTTTTTTAATATAGATTTTAGAAGAAGCAACTGAAGAGGAAACAGCCCTTCATAATCGAATCATGCCAACAGTGGTTCGACCTTCAAAACAACTTTCCCCAGAATCCAAGCAAGCAACAGATCAAGAAATGGTATAAAAACTCAAAATAACTGATTTGAGTTAAAGAAACACATTTTACTGTATGCTGAGGTTCTGGCTGATAAAATTGAAATTGGATCAGAACTGTGAGGGTTTTGATGGCAAAGATACAACAAACATGTTTAAACCAGTTGAAGGTAGTGATTCAGTATATGCCCCTTTCAAGGTGAGCAAAGTGAGTGTCAGCATTATTGCCTTTACAGAGTGGTTATGAAGTACAGTAATGCTTTTTGAGCTTATTCCTTTTAATATTGGTATTGTTACCAAATTCTTATGTTTTAATGAAGTGCTTAGGTGTGCTCACCTTGCAGTTTTAGCTAGAGCAATCATTTGTTAATGTCACTGTGTGGCGTGGAATTCTTGCCACTCTTGTACCTTAGAGCTAATATTAAGTGCTGACTAAAAAAACAAAATGTCCTTAGCAAATGTAAAAGTTTCTTCTAGCTATATTTTGAAGTATTTTTCAATATTTCACAAAGTGAAATTTTAAGCATGTGAGTAGGGTAGTGGGAGGGTATAACAAGTCAACATTTGTATGAGTTGTATTTTGTAGTAAATAGAGCTGTCTTTTGTTCAGTGCTCAGTGTACGTGCACAGCAGTAATTTCTGTGCAATAGTTGACATCTGAACATTCTTGCAACTTAGTACATTATTTTTTGGAGGGATATACTTAATAATCACGGCCTCATTCTGAAACACCATTGTACTTTAGTCATTTACAAAGGCTAAACAGAGTTTGGATGTGAAAGGTCTTCGAAATTCTAATCAAGAAATCAAGCTCTACAGTTCTACTGTGTCTCACTTAAATAAAGGATACTAAACAGATGCAGTATATTTATATTCAGCTTTTATGAAATCCATTAAAAATACAGTATGGCTTGATACCAAGAATGCTGTGCAGATTCTTTTACTGATTCATGTTGAAATTGTTTGTAGCTGAAGAAATACTTAAAATTGATATTTAGAATGACTGTATATTTTCTGTTTTTCAGGAATTGTTTGAGCTGTCGGTAAGTATACTTTTTCATTTGGCACATACCTATTTTTCTTAAGATGCATGTGAATGTAACCCTTTTGTTCCTTCCTTCCTTCCTGTCTGACACAGACTGGGTATGAAATTGGAATCGTGCGCCAGTTTCCATTTTCCTCAGTGTTGCAGCGCATGTGTGTAATAGCCAGGGTTCTAGGGGAAAAGAGAATGGATGCTTACATGAAAGGTGCTCCAGAAGTGATTGCCAGCTTGTGTAAGCAGGAAACAGGTAAAGGAGCAAATTGTTTTTATTTCTTCTATAGCTCAGCTGAAACAGGAATATTTTAATAACTCAAAACTTGATTTTTCTGAAGTTCCTGTTGACTTTGAGCGTGTCCTGGAAGAATACACTAAGCAGGGCTTCCGAGTTATTGCTCTTGCTCACAGAAAACTGGAGTCTAAGCTTACGTGGCACAAAGTCCAGACTATTAGCAGGTAAGAGTGACATCACTTTTTTAATAAGTAAGACACTTTAAAAGTTGCATGCTTTGAATTAATATGTAATGTGTATTTTTGTTTAAATCAATTACTACTCTTCTTTAGCTTTTTTCTGTCTTGGCATACATAGTTCTGTACATCCTTTAGTTGTGCCCTGGACACACAAAATAAGGAGGTTTTTTTCTGCAATGAAGTGAATTCAGAGGATGAAATTTAAGCTGGAAATGAACTGGAAGATTATTTTCATGATGTCTAATTTACATTATTGTGGCAGACAACCTCATCTGATTTCTTTACTTGCACATACTTATATCATCTATGTTTATTAAGGAGAGTGGCAAGTAGTGGAAATCCTCCTATGCATGTTTGATGCAGTTTCTTTGTCTCTTAAAGGCAGCATGTCTTATTTTCTCATTGCAGAGGTCTGAAAGGTAGAAAGGTTTCTTCCTTCTAAGAGTAGCACCTCCTGTGAATTATTTTTCAGCTGAGCCTAGTTTTGTGGATGATGTCATCTTTCCCACAGTGCTTGAATGTGTAGCACAGCTATGAAAATGCCAGCTTTGACTGTGTTCTTTTGTATCAGCCCTGTGTGCAAGGTGAACATTTGGCAAAGCAGAGAAATGAGTTTTCCAGTTTCAGGTGCGAAAGTCTACAATAGCAGTAGAATACTCAAGACCTGTAAATACACTAACTTTTTAATGTAAACCAAAGAGAATTCATTTCTCTGCCTAATTAGCTAGTGCCTATTAATCTTACATGCCTTTGTAACAGTGTAGTAGCTTTTATGTTAAGGTTCAGCTAAATTGGAAATAGAGATGTGCACTCTAAACATATCTTAATATTTGGCCTGTGAATGCAGTTAGTTTCAGAGCAGGTTTTCTAGCTACAACCTATTTGAGACTGTAATTTCCTTTAGAAAGCATTCTTGTGGAAGAAACTGAAAATTGTGCTTGAGAGGAAACAACATTTTCTCACACTGGTTTTCAAATAAAACAAGGGAAATAAATATAAATTATTGTGATGGTATCTTTCACATCATTTTTTATAAAGCAAATTACTTAATGGTTAAAAATACACATTCCTCTTTACTTTGCTAAGCAGAAAATCAGGCTTTTGAAGCTGCATCTAATAATTGTAAATCTTAAAATCTTCTCTTCCTTGTCTCTTTTTCATCAGAGATGCTATTGAAAGCAACATGGATTTTATGGGGTTAATTATAATGCAAAACAAGTTAAAGCAAGAAACCCCTGCTGTACTTGAAGATTTGCATAAAGCCAACATTCGCACTGTCATGGTTACAGGTTAGCATGTAAACATTCATACTCAAAGATCCATCTCTTTCTGGTCTTGTTTTAATTATGTGTATTAAGTAAAATTTTAGTGTCAGTGGGTTTACACTGTGTTTATAGCAACAGGGAAGTTTAGAAAGTTGTGAAAATATTCAGACTCCAATTTTCTTCTTTTTGGGTGCAAGTTGCTTTGGTGAGTCGGAGAAACCAAAAGAGGCTTTAATTCCACTTTGTAGTTTCTTCTCCCTAGCTCCAAGAATAAGCTACTTGATACTGAATTGGAGGATGAAAACCCTGAAAAGTCTTCCAGATCAGGCTAAGTGGAAGTCCTAGTCTAATTTTATGACTGAACTTGCTTTGAGCAGGAGGTTAGACTGGATGTCCTGAGGTTCTCTACCATTTTAATTTATACTATGAAAAGTCACTTTGTGTTGGATTTTTTTCTGGGAGAGTGACTTAGGTCCTGGTAAGCATTCTAGATGTCTGTGCTCAGTGTTTTTCATACAATATATGTTTGCTTTTTAAATCACAGGTGTTGTGATTTTGGAATGTTTTGCTAGGCTAACAATACAGCTCTGTTTGCATGTTCTGTGACTGTGTAGAAAACAGTATTTTAAGTGGCTGCCTGTTTTCTGCCTGATTTTCCATATACTAAGATTTGGTCAAGAAGAGATCTTTATAGCTCCAAGCAGCAGACAAGATTTCTAGAGGAGGGAGTTTTCCTGGGGGTTTGAATGTTGTCTGTAGGCTTGGTTTGCTCTGAGGCTGGCACTAGTATGTGGGGCAGTCCTCCTCATAGTTCTCTACAGGCTTACTTAGCTTTTCTCTTACAGGGAATATTAACGTATGATCTTGATGCTTTTCTGACTGAAACCCTTTCAAATGCAATTGTTTAACAGGGGATAACATGTTAACTGCTATCTCTGTGGCCAGAGACTGTGGAATGATTCTACCTCAGGATAAGGTCATTATTGCTGAAGCACTACCTCCAAAGGATGGGCAGGCTGCCAGGATCAACTGGCATTATGCAGATACCCTCGCAAAATGCACTAGTTCATCACCAGCCATAAACTCAGAGGTAATATCACCATATTATGCATATATATTAGAGTGTAAGCAGTTAGTTTTACTGTTCTTTTTATATTACTCCATTAAATAGTAAATCTGCTGTTAAGTGTCAGTTCAGAATTGATATACTGGTTAACTTTCAGATCTTCAAATACCAAAGACTAGTAAAGCAGCTGGGGGAGGTAGTTTTTCAACTGTGATATGACATTTGACATTTCACTTGATAGGGTTTTTTCCCCAACATTTCCAATCTGTCAAAACTTCTCTAGCTGCTTGTAGTTGAAACATCAAACCACATTTTCTTAGTAATATGTAAGCGTTTTTATTGTATGAGGTTTTTTTTTTTAAATGACCTTCTTATAAACCTAGTCATCTCTAGGAATGCCCCTCTGAATATTAGCTTGAAATGGCAAAGTATCTGTGTAGATCCATTACAGCTAGAGTATTAAACTACTTTTGATAGGATATTCCAGTTAAATTGGTCCATGAAAGCCTTGAGGATCTCCAGATGACAAAATACCATTTTGCAATGAATGGGAAGTCATTTGCAGTGATTTTGGAGCATTTTCAGGACCTGGTACCCAAGGTGAGCATTTTACTTGAGTATGGGGCACTTTCAGTGGTGAAGAGCCTTTGCCCTCTGAGCATTAAGAACTCTCCTGTCTTGCAGCTCGTGCTACATGGCACTGTGTTTGCTCGCATGGCACCTGATCAGAAAACTCAGCTGGTGGAAGCTTTACAAAATGTAGAGTAAGTATTTGCTTAAGCATAGAAAGCGAGAGGGTTCACTGTGTTTGGTGTGATAGGAGACAAAAATTATGCATGCTGTTTTGCTTAAAGAAAAATGCTGAGCTGAGAGAACTTTTTGTGTTGCTAGATCAGCCTATTAGCTGATCTGATGGAATGAGAGTAGTACCATCTGCTGGCTAGTTGGGAAAGTTTCAGACTTTTCTTGAAGTTTTAAGTGGGGAATATCTGCATAAACTTAGTAACATATTTTATAAATGCCATTGCTTGGTTTATGAAACAAACCCATCAAATGTCTTCCGTGTATTACAGAAGTATTATCAGGATGACTTCTGTTCACATTGGTCATTATGTGACTGTTAGTGTCAGGCCTTGCAGCTTTACAAAATACTACAGAAGTGTCATTGCCTAGAGCAAAGATTCTTTAGACCACATTGGGGTGATAGAGAGCTAATTAACCACTATTGCATTGATTGACCTGTCATGGTCATGTTACTTTTCTGTCTACTTCCTTATATGTGTAACAGCAACAGTAATTGACCTCAGCATTAATGATCACCCATTGTTATGCAAACCCTGAATAACTCAAAATAATATAGAAGTAATTAATGAAATAAGCTAAATGGACCATGGTTGGAGAACGGTCCAGAATGCTGACATCTGTTTGCTTTTTATAGTTACTATGTGGGCATGTGTGGAGATGGAGCAAATGACTGTGGGGTAAGTATATTTTTATTTTCCATACAGAACCATTCAGTTAAATTGTACAGCTGAAGGCAAGTTCTAAAATGGTCTCTCTTTCAATGTTACCTGGCAGGCACTGAAGAGAGCACATGGTGGTATATCTCTGTCTGAACTTGAGGCTTCTGTGGCATCACCATTCACTTCCAGGACACCCAGCATTTCCTGTGTGCCAAAGCTGATCAGGTAATGCCACTGACTGTAGACTTAAATGTGTCTGTGCAACTCATTTTGTATGCTCCATTTTAGTATGTATTTGATGTTCTGTAATTCACACTGGTTTCCTGCAGCAATACATACATTTTAGTGGTTCTGTTTCTTTACCGAAGGTACTCAGAGCAAAACCCTGCCATAGCATGATTTACCAGTTTGTTGTAAAATCCTTTGTTCATGTAAAGTTAATTTTTCAAAGCATGACCAAGCTTCTACACATTAGTCTTTAATTTTGTCTTAGTCACTTTGATAGTTTCCATAAAGGCTATGTGTAATTGCAAGCAGTAAAAATCTTCAGATAATTGCTCAGCACCATATAAAGAAGAAGACAAATTCTCGAAATAGGATTTGACCAATTTTTTTACTCTAGAATTGGAAATTAGGTAACGATTTTGGATAAGAAGAATGTAAGGGTCTGTGGGGAACTAACAAAGTAATGGAATTAATTATTAAATGTAATTATCAGAAACATTTCTGAAGTCAGCAGCTCTGTGGCTGACTGTGTGTTTATTCAGTCCATGCAGTAAACTAATACTTCATAGATGCTTGTGTAAAAAGACTTTAATTTTAAAACCTCTGTTGAAAAAACTACAGACTGCCTTCAGTCCAAAGAGGACTGAAGTTAGGTGGTGGCTGAGTTCAGCAGACATGCCCACAACTTGATGTTGGGGGAAGTGTACCATTCTCCTGTTTCTGTCATGTCTGTAGCCTAATGTCCCTCAAACGGTTTGCTGGTGTGTTTAATTGAGCTAACATTTTGGTAGGCAGGACATAACTGCTTGCACAGAAAGCTCTGTAGTTACATGATTCCATCTGTTTTGACAGGGAAGGCCGTGCTGCTTTAGTAACTTCCTTCTGTGTGTTCAAATTCATGGCATTATACAGCATCATCCAGTACATCACTGTTACTTTGCTGTATTCTGTAAGTATTCTGTCAATACCTATGCAGTGTCGGCATAATTCAGAGATTTGAAAGTTGATAGATACTTAATACAAATTATTACAAGTCCCTTTGAGTACAACATATGCATTCCAAAATACATTTAGACTGAAGTGTTATTAGTATTTTGGGGTTTTTTTTCATATTAACTGTACAAAATACATGTTAGTATTTTGGGGTTTTTTTTCATATTAACTGTACAAAATACATGTTAGTATTTTGGGGTTTTTTTTCATATTAACTGTACAAAATACATGGTAGTATCTGTTTAGAAGAGGCAATAACTAATGGCTGTGCAAAGAAAGTCTCTACAGTGGGAAGACCAAATAAGCATATATACAGAGCAAAAATACAGGCTTCGATTATTTAAAAACTTCCAGTATTTTGAAATAGCCTAACTTATTTTAAAGGGCAATGCATTCCTTTTATGTTAGATTTTGAAGAAACTGGAAGTACTGATTTAGGTGGGTGGGGGGGAAGCAAAATGGAATATTTCCTGTTAATATGATTGGTTTCACAATAGTGGCATGTGGTAGAAATCCTGTATTTTTTTTTTTTGTATTCTGAGCAAGTTAAAGGTGCAGAGTACTAAAGGACCTTTGAGGTGGAAATTTCAACAGCTGTATGAGTACATAGTAAGGCTATGGTGTTTAAAGAACTGTAGGCCAAGCTGTTATTGCATTGGTATGTAAGATTCAATAATATCATTTTGATTACAAACAAAATACAATTACAAATAGCTTGTGCATCTTGAAAAGGAAATTGTTTCATAATGTGATACTTCAGGAATTGTTCTGTCAATTGTAGAGTGTTCAGGACTCCTGCAGGTAAAGGAGGCCAGTTTGACAGGACACTCTCTTGTTTATAGAGCAAAATTGAAAGAATTAATGCCGTGAAAGTGTCAGTATAATTTTTTTGTGTTGTGAAGAAATTACCAATGTTTCATTTGTTGTTTCTCTCCAGATCCTGAGCAATTTGGGAGATTTCCAGTTTCTCTTCATTGATTTGGCAATCATTTTGGTGGTTGTCTTCACTAGTAAGTAGTACTGTACTGAATTACCATCGTGGCTTCTGTGAACCACTTTTTGCTTGGTCAGATTTTCTTTAATATCTAATTACATGTGGTTTTGAGAAAACACTATGACATACAGTGAAGATGTTATGACTATTACATCTATGCATTAAGAAACCCAAACCACACTATGTACTGCATTAGATTCATCTGAAATTTGTGAAATGTCCTCAAACAAGAAGCAGGTTGTGGGCACGATCTTGGGGAACTAAATCTTCACAGTACAGGAAGCCGGTTTTGGAATCAAAACAGGAGTCATTGCAATATCATCTTGCTCAGTTGTTTTGATTCCTTGCATTCTTGCTTTGAACTTCTGTCCACAAAATGTAGTACTAAAAATATTGCCTAGTGAAACAGTTGATTTCATGTATGAGCCTAGCATTCAATTCACTGGCTAATAGTAGAATTCCATTTTTCAAATTTAATAAAAGCATCTTAATTGAAGCAATGGCAGTCCAAAAGTGAGGAGGCAAGCTGTAAGTCCTTGTGCCAGACAAAGGGAATTTGGCCAGACACTGCTAATTCCTTAAGTCTGATGACTGCTACTGTCCCTGCTGTGCTGTGCTGCTGGGGAACCAACCTGTAGAAGGCACTGTGGTGTTGTTCTAGGGCTCTATGGTCTTTGCAAAGTGGTTTCACATTTGCAGTTCTGGACTAAATATTAAAGTGATGTCATGAGCAAGCCATTCTCATCCCACAGAATGTGAACAGGATAACTCTTGAAAACCATAATGATGCAATGTGTCATTTGTTTTTTGTTCTCTCTGCAGTGAGTCTGAACCCTGCTTGGACAGAGCTTGTTGCACGAAGGCCTCCATCAGGTCTTATCTCAGGTCCACTTCTGTGTTCCGTGTTGTCTCAAATCGTCATCTGCCTTGCTTTCCAAACCCTGGGCTTCTTTTGGGTCAAACAGCAGTCCTGGTATGAGCCTTGGACACCAGACTCTGAGTAAGTGTTTCAGTGGCTCTGCAGGATACAGTAGTGATTGGAAAGCTATAGGCAATAATGCTCTCTTCTTTCTTGACCCCCTCTGTGGGGACTTTGAAAATAAAGCTTCTGTATTGCAGCTTGTTAGTCTGCTGATTTTTTGTGAAAAAATATATGGGAGCTACCCACTGGCTGAAGAACAAAATTGGGTCAGAGTCATATGGCTTGGTCTAATGACTCTTCAGCTTTAGGACAGTTGAGGTAGAAATTTGAAATTTATGGTTCAGATCTATGCTATCTCTTTCATGTTATAAAGCTTTGCTTTCCTGTTAGTTACAGTAAATCAAATTAATTTTTTTGAAAATAAAGAGTTGTTTTAATGTTATTTTTTTAGATTGCAGTATTTCCTTACCTGTCTCTGAAGTCTGTCTACAATGATAGTTTTTAAACAGTTTATGTAGAAAATTTACAAACTGGCAGCATAAAAGAACTTGAAGCTCTAAATTCACAAAAATTACTACTTCCCTGCCAGTTTTGAGTTATTTCTTACTACCTGTAATATGTTCTCAAGTTTAAGCTTTTTTACTACTGTAGCAATTTGTTCTGTCAATATTTTTGTAAATAAGTGGGCCCTTTTTGCCTCTTCTCCATAACTCAGTGTTCAATGTTTTTGTGTTGCAGTGCATGTAATGTGTTGGACGCCCAGAACACCAGCTCTGCACACCACGGGAATGAGACTATTCATGATGAACATTACATTAAAAATTATGAAAACACAACTTTGTTTTTTATATCCAGCTTTCAGTACCTCATAGTGGCAATTGTCTTTTCTAAAGGAAAGCCCTTTAGACAACCATGCTACAAAAATTGTAAGTCCTTTCTTAGTATATACAGTTCCAAGTAAAACTCCCAAGTGACTGTGCACTTGTTGACAATTCTGTTGTGCTACTTCAGAAGCAACAGTGTTGCTAGGAGATCATAGTGGAGTTATCCTCTCATAAGCACAGCTAGAAAAAAGGAACTATTAAACTGTATGGAGAAATTTGTGTTAATAGTTGCTTAATTTGTAGATGTATATGTGTCTGTATATTTCAACTTCACAAGTGAGCCAGTGAGAAGGAGTCAGGGTTTATCTGTCTTTATGACTTATCAGCACAACTAGTATTGCCCCAGTTTGCCTGGAAGGGGTTTATGGGGAGAAGAGAGGTTGTTTCCAGGCCATAATGAACTCATGATACATGTTAAAACTGTCTAAAACTCTTGATTGTGAGATGGTCCAATTAAAATATTTTTTTTCTTCTTTTACAGTTCTGTTTGTTTTATCTGTTATAGTTCTTTATGTCTTCATATTTTTCATCATGCTGCACCCTGTTGAACCTATCGACGCATTTCTTGAGGTGAGAGTCAGCAGATCTGTGGGTGTGTGAGCTTCCTCGGGCAGCTGGTGGGCTGCCTTTGGGGCAAGCATGAGCCCTGCAGAGTTTTACCATCACATCACTGCGTGGGAAAGGGAGAATTTATAATTCTGAGTCTGTTTGGGATGTGTGTTTACTTCACATGTGTGTTGCTAACCTCTGGCAACTTGTTTCCACAGCTTGTGTGTGTGCCACCGGAGTGGCGCCTAAGAATTGTCATCATCGTTATTCTAAATGCACTTGTATCTGTGCTGACAGAGGTAAGAAATCCACGTGGAAAAAATGCTTCTCTTTTAAGTGCTTCTTTTGCAGGGTACATGTTTGTCTTTTATTTAGGTCACTCTTCACAGCATGCCAGTATGAGTGGCTGCTGTTGTCATGTTAGGTGTGTATTTGTACAAATGTCCTTGTGAGCTAGATTTAAGGTGTCAAGACTTTCTGTGTCTAAAGTGTAATTTTAAATATTTTTTAATTAAAAAATGGGGGCAGGGAGGAAGTTAAAAGACTTCATAATTCAACTATTTCATATTAAAATACTCCATTTTTATTTTCTGTGTTACTCCAGAATAGCAAAATACTAGAGAACTATCTAAAATCCTTAGGGGATCCACCCTTCCTTCATTTGGATCATACACATAGCTTATTGTTCAGAATTATGCAGGTCTGTGTAATGCAGGTCTGTCTGATGTGATCAAAGTCCAGAAGTAGAGATGTTCATGCAAATCTGCTTTTTCCATCACTAAGCTTGTCTGAAGTCAATCACTCTGGATGTTGACCTCTTCTGCTATAATTCCAGAGTTAATGTATGCAGAAGCATGCCCTACCTTTCATCCAGGTGTCTTGTTTTTGTTTCCAAGAGTCAAAGTTTGACAGATAAATCTTCCAGAAGAAGTCTGGATTCACAGTCAGTTATTTATTCTGTGGTTAGTTTTTCTCCCTATTAACTGACATGTGATTTCCAACCTGAATATGTTTGGGTTTTGGTTGCAGTCATGAGTCACTTTTTTCCTGCAAGATGAAAAGGCCTTCCAGCATTATCTAGTGCACACTATAATTATCTGTTTTTACTGTATAACATTTTCTACAGCTTCTAATCAGTATTTCCATTACAATGTGAGGGATTACTATCAATGTAACCAGCATAATACTTACTTGGATCATATAATTTTGGTCTTCAAAGAGTACTACAGCATTAATATTCTATCCAATTGACATGTTTTTTCCCTTTATTTGTGACCTAGTAAAAATTAACTCAAACAAAGGGGTTTTTTTCAGATACTTGAATCAAAATTACCACGGTTTTGTGTTTAAAATGTTGTTCCAAATAGAATTTGCAAAATATGTTCTTATGTTGCTGCCTATTGGAATATGTTTTTGAGTTTTCACATGGCAGGCAACAACTTGTCTTTTCCAAAACGTGTCAGTAGATACTAATTTTCTTGGCCTCTTGTCTTGTGGTTAACAAGTTTATCCACTGTTAAAGCTCCTGTGCCTTTCTTACATTGTCCTGTATGTACTCTAGCTCTTCCTGTGATGATTTTCCTTTATGGCCTTGAATTCTTTTGCTTTTTTTTTGTATTAGTGAATGCTTAATAGTTTGGGGATTTTTGGCTTTCTTTTATTTTTGAAAAGTAAAATTTATGTATTTTGCTGTCTTTGCTACTGAAACAAAACAGCTATTCTGAAGCTTCAGCATCATGGCTTTTTTTGTCTTCTGGTAAAATTAAAACAAACCTCCTTGACAGAAACATTTTATTCAATTTCAATATTCAATCCAGTGATAAGGATTAGTGAGAGAAAGAAATTCACCATCTGCTTGAAAATTCCTTTGTTCTGCCGGTGATCTTGTAACTTTTATAGAAGCTGGTGTTTCTGTTCTGGATGTGTAAGGGCTCCAGCAGGAAGTCTGTACAGTGTGCCAATCCACGTGGCAGCACGTGGCTCTTGAGGAAAAATGGTTCTCCTCTGGTTTAAATACGTGTTCATCAGGTTCCACTTCTTGGCCTTGTTGATTGTCACATCAGCCTGAAAACTTGTGAATTTCTACTAAACATCACTTAAGCAGTATTTTAAAAATTACCTGCAGATTGTGTTCTTTCATCCAGTATTTTAAAACCTCATCCTACGCTTTTTCCTATGGAGGTTTGAGTTAGCATCTTTGTACACTTCAGTCATTTAACTTTCATTACTGCAGGGGTAATTTGACATATTTCTTCTAAACAGCTTTCCCAATTTATCTTGTTGTCTGTACTTTGGTAATAAAATAGAAGTACCTACTTCTTGGCAGTAATTGTGTGAGCTGTTATGCTTTGTCTTAAACCAAATTTCTCCCACTTTCTAAGTGTGAGTTGAATGCTTTGTTATGGCAGATGAGCTGTTTTACTGTACAGTAAGTGTCCCAAGAGAACTATTGTGTAGCAATCCTCAAATCCTAAACCTTGTTTTACAATACACACTTCACCTTCCATAAACTGGAGCCACCTCTTGCATTTGCCCAATTCCAGCAGTGTTACTCTACACTCTCTAAAGCTTTGTCATGTGGTGCCAGCTCCTTGGGTCCAGTGTGTTGTGTAGAAATCCCAGGCTATTTCTTTCCTTCACTTCAAGTATAGCTCATTGTCTTTCTCTCCTTGTGTGCCTGGCTGGATTTTCTGCTCCCTCCACTTTTCACTACAGACCTGTGCCACAGGTTACATGCTGAGTATCTGGGGGTGCCACTGGTGACAGCTCCTTCCATCTTTTAACAAGGTAGCCTGTATTTCACCTGGAGTTTATTCTGCAGAGAGCTGTTCCTCAGGAACTGCCTCTTTAAGTGTCTCATAATTATGAGATACATGAGGAATTCGTTGTTCCTTAGTCACACTTGCCAGTGTGACCCTTCAGTGTCGCACTATGATCATATGTAGTTTTGTCATTGCTTCTACAACAGGAATAGTTTCTGACTGTGGTTGTTTTCTGTTTGTTTTCTGAAATGCCCTGAAAAGCTTTTGTTCCTTCCATGTGGGTGCCAGACTAGGTTCACAAAGCATGCAGATTCTTTCTACCATATGATAGAAAATATTGCACAACAAAGGCAGATCCTAGCAGCTGTTCCTCCTCACCCCTGAAGCCTGGTATAGACATGCTTAAACCAGACTGGCTTCAAAAAATGAACATCTAACAAGATGAAGATTTGTTGGCTGATGCTTTATAAAAGCACTGTCAAATTCTGGTGTGTTATAAAATCATGAGCATTATAAAAATCTGTTACAAAAGTCTGACTAATCAGCTCCCCGTTTTCAATGGCAGCAGTTAGTCAGGTGCTAGAAATGGAATCTGTCCAAGGATCAGAGTTGTAGGCTCGAGGCCATGGAAGGTACAGGTTCACACCTGTGTTGTCAGATTTGCTCAAAGCTCCTGAGTCCACCCATGCAGCTGTATGAGGATAACCAGACGTGCTCCACATACTATTCAAATTCTGCCCTCTTTTAAAAACGTGGAATTACGCATACCAAATTCCTTTATTCCTGCTGGTGGCCCAGCTTTGCCACACCACTGCTACTTTTCTGAGAGTGTCCCTGGTTTAAAACAGACTATGTAAAAAGGATAGCTCCAAGATGGTTTATGGGGAAACTGCTCTAAGCACTCATGTCTTCATGTGGTGCTGCACAGGTTTTTAGAGTATAGAAACACATATGTATTTATGTTTTTTACCCTTAGAGATGGATGCAGATTTGGTCATTGTTGCTGTTGATTTTAGAGTATATGTTCATATTCTTAAATTTTGTGTGAGCACTTTAGAATGAAAATGTTTATCACAAAAGTAACGACAAACAGCATAAACTCCCTGTTTTGCTTGCCACTGAATTAGTTATGCCTAACCCACTGTTTCAGGTTTTATTTGTAATGTGCACACTAACAACAAATGATCATTAGTTTCTTTAACTCTTCCCACTCACTGTAATGTCTCACAGAATGTCCTCCTTGATATGATCCTTTGGAAGGTTGTGTTCAATCGAGACAAACAAGGAGAATCTCGCCTCACCATACCCCAGCCGCCTCAGGTTGGAGACGAGTATTTTGCTGTCATCATTTCAGTGCATGTGGATTAATTTGGTTTTGTCTCTTATCTATAACTGTCTGTTGCCTTATCTTTAGCTTAAGTCTGCTTAAATTAGATTTCTGTAATTGGAATATTAAAAACAAAGGCTTCTGGGTTTATATTTTTTTCTGTATTGACACTTAAAGAGTTTAGTGTGTGTGCAAGAACTGTGAAACAAACCTAGAGTATTGCTTTAAGACTTTTTTCTCACTTCATCTTTAGTTTCCACATCAGCAAATTTTTTTGGTGTCGCAAGTTAGTATGCTAGGACTGGGAACATCTTGATTTGCTTAGAAGCAGTTAAAATAAATTAATTTGGTTTAGAGTTCTAGGTCCTTGTCTGAGAGCAGTAATTTTCAGTATGTACCAAATTAAACAAAACAAGATGGCAATGAAAATACACTCTTACTGGTTCAGATGGTTTAGGACAGTGAAAGATTTTTCAGGTGACCATGAATTTTGGTCTGGTCTGCCCCTCTGCTGTTAATACATGAAGGAAATCTATGTGATTCCCATAAAAACAGCTTTACTTTAAACCTGTTGGCTTATTACTTTTGGCTGATTGTATATTTGTGCTTGCTAGAATTATAGTGGTTTATTTCTCAGCACTACATTTTATTAAATATATTCACTTCAGATTTACATTTGTCCTTCTGAGGCTGTTGTAGAACAAATTGTTTTGTGGTCACTGAAGAAAGGAAACTGTGCTCAAGGCTCACATTTGCTTTAGTTCACTAATTGATAGACATTTAGAGCATGATGGAAACTATAGAATGTCTTACCATTAAAATGTCAGCCCTGCAAACTATAGGTGCTCTCTGAGACATGAGAGGGATTCAGTCTCAAGCATGAGGAATGTTGTTTCTCTTCCCCAACTGATTACATGCATTTAAGACTGGGAGAGAAAGCATAGGAAGGAAGTCTTAAGTTTAGTATTTTGTGTCCTTTTTAATAGCTATTAATACCTGCAGTATTTAGATTTCACATGCCAGCAAGTTAAATTCTGCTACTTTTGTCTGACTGGCTGCCTTCAGTTTAACAATTCATGACTTAAAAAGTGTTTTGGGGTTTGAGGAATTTGCTTTTTATAGACCAGGCTTTTATTCTCCAACAGTAAAATAATTTATTGTTCCCTATTCTCTCTGTGATTATTGAAATTACTATAAAATAGGCATAAAAACTGTTGGTGGTCTTAGATGTTATGACAATGTGAAATACTTGGTTTTTTCTTAATGTTTTTTGAATGTCATTACTATCACAATCACAGAGAATATAGAAGAGATGACACAACAGAAGAGTTTCTGTACCACAGGTCCAATCCAATGTGATAATGAAATAGTAAAGACTGAAATAATAGTTTTTCTTCTAGTAATTTACTGTATTGTTACTGACTTTTTTTTTTTTTTTGTTATGGTAATCCAATTTTCAAACTTGTTCACTTCTGCAGGAGGCTGGGGACCGCTGTGGAGTCTGTTTCCTTTCTTCCCTGTTTGGTTGTAGAGAGAAGACACCAAAAGCCAAGTATATGCACCTAGCTCAGGAACTGCTGGTTGATCCAGAATGGCCACCAAAACCCAGGACAACAACAGAAGCGAAAGTACCATCCCGAGAAAATGGTTCATATCAAATCATCACTGTAACGTAGCAGTGGATCTTGGTGGCATGCATCTTTAGTAGTATTCAGAAGAATGTAATTTTAAGGCTTTATTTGAAACTGCAGTGTGCTAAATGTCAAATTCTAATGCAGATATTTCCAACTGTTTTGTCTCTCTGAATACAAAATTCAGAGCCAGGCGTCTTATGGCTATACATTTTAAAAATGTAAGTTATCCTAGGCAGAACAAAAATGATTGTTTCCTTCCACCTTCTTTCAGATTTCATTGTTCCTAAATGAGATGCATTTGAAGGTTTAAACTGCAGGGCAGTTAAAACAGGTTCACATTATTTGCCTGGAGTATCTTAATAGTTGTTCTAACCTGCTTATCTGGGCATGTGTTCATGTAAACCCTATGATGTGATGGTTTCATGGCTGTACTAGAGGTGCATAATAACCTTGTCATGGTTTGGGGTTTTTTTGTGTCTGTGTTTTTGGTTGGTTGGGGTTATTTTGTTTGTTTAGTTGGTTTTATTTGACTGATGAAAAGTTTTGTGCCTCAGAACGGTTCTAAAGTTTGTGTGTGTGTGTACCTCTAAGTTTGTCCCTATTAGTAAGGAGCATTTCCAGGTGTAATGTTTGGGTTCTAAGTTCAGTTCTTTAGTCTGCCACAGCAGACTGGGAATGCTGTAGAAGCAATATGCTCTGTCCTTAAGAAATAAGCACATTGCTTTCATGTAGATTCTTGACTTCTATTCTAGCTAACCATAGGGAAGGCTTAGGTGGCCTCCAGGGGAGGAGCCATTTGGTTACACTCTAAAGTTTTTGGAGAAAGAAGGATGGAGAATCTAAACCCTTTCTTATGTCACGTTTTATTACATTTAGCTATGCATTTCTCCATAGACCTTGCTTTTTCCAGCAGAAGGGTTGGATTATCCCTTTGTGGACCATGTTTTATTTGTGAATCTAAAGATAATTTTCTTATATACCTTGAAGTAGTAAGGCCAGAGTTACTGCTGCAAGGAATATGGGAGTGGGAGGGAGGTATTGTCACGTGCCCATGTGTGGGGTTTGTGCACGTTAAGAGCACAGGCGTTTCAGAGTCTGCCAGTGTCTTAAACTCTACATGTAGCTGTACAAAACAAAATTAAGAGAAAATTGAGCTAAAGTCTGTCTTGCTGCAGAACTATAAGGCTTATGCAGATTTTATTTATTAAAAAAAAAAAAAAAAGAAAAAATAAAAGCATGTATCACCACTAATGCTGCTTAAGCACTAGGGGTAGCCATACGTAATTTTGCCATGAGGCAGTATCAGAACACAAGACCACTAGAAAAATAGGTCTACAAAGAAGTAGAGGCAGACAGCACTTTGACTTGCAAGGTTTAAAACTTTTTTTTTTTTTTTTTTTTTTTTTTTTTAAATACAAATTACTTATCTCTAAACCATTGTTGACTTTGTACATGTTTGGAAAAGTCTTCCTTAGTGTCTTTGGGAAGATGATAAATTGAGTCTTGATCAGTCTATTTTTGACTGGGGCAACTAACTGGTCCAGACACCTCCAAGCTTTGGGAGGAGATCTCTGGTCTGAGGAAGTCATGATTCTGTAGAGATCCTTTAGAGTAGTTGTGGAATGAGACTCACTGGCCGGCTGGGATTGTTTTGAAGTGTGTATATTCTGATGATGGAATTTGAGGTTTTGATATTAGAGATTTTTTGCTTTCTTTTTTTCCTTTTTTTTTTTTTTTTTTCTTTTTCCTTTTTTGGGTTGTCTTGTTTTTTTCTTTTAAATTCCTGTGGAGACAATTCCATTCCAGCCTTGTTTTAATAAGTAGAATTTTTCAGATCAGGCCTAATTCCCTTGTGCTGTTCTGTAAGACAGTATGGACAGTGTGCCCTGCTGCTCATAGAATCATTAAGGTTGGAAAAGACCTTCAAAATCATCAACCATTAACCATGTTAATGTCAATCATGTTGTGGTTTCTGCAGTGTTGAATATACTGTGCCAACTGGGAATTTAAAAGTGGTGCTAAATGGTTTGGAAGACCTTTTCCTAGAACTTGGTTGTTGAAGTTATTGCTCCTCCTAAATAATATGCATATGGGTGTACTATCTTCCAGTCCAGCTGTCAACTCTTTTCCTGATTTCTGTTGTTGTTGTTGTTTGTTTTCAAGGAGTGGAGCAGGGGGAAAGGGGGAAGTGGTTTTCTTAGCATTCATTCAACAGAGCAATGTTCTTATAATCCTGGCTTCATAAGGTCATAAACATTTAACAACATTGGTGGCTTTTAAAGGGTCTGTAAACATTGGATACATTAATTAGTCACGAACCTGAGTCAGTTGGCTAATTTCTGCCGATGTTGATTTTACAAAATCTTTGTAGCATGGAATAACTGATGAAGAATAATTCTTAGCTGCGTAAGTAGTATTCAAATCTAAACAAAAATAATATTTTAGTTGAAAAATATTGTGAAGCTATGCATCTTGGACCTGGGAGCTGTGACTTATCCTTAAAAGCATAAGCTTCTGCTTTCCATTTCATTGACCATTTTAGATTTGCTGTTTCATGAGAACTGAAAGGAAATATTTGTGTCTTTCCCTTCTAGAAGCTTTTGCTTAATACTTTCCTAGACTGATAATTTCTCTTGGCTTGTTTGGTTTCTGAAGCTAGTTTTTCAGTCTTATTCTAGTTTGTTAGACTTACCTAGAAAGTGAGGAGAAAAACAGCTCATTAAGGTGGGCTTGTCTTCGGAGAACATTTTAGGGAGCTCTTACTAAAACAGAAATTGCCAAGTGTCTCCACTTAACCGAGTGACTAATGAGCGTAGTAAACTTGAATGTTTTGCAAATGGGAGCTTGTTTCCTCCAGGTCTGCGTTCAGGGTTGGTAAATGTTCCTGAGGTTGCATGCTTGAGCTCTGACGCTTAGTCAAGAATAATAAATCAGCTTTTCTGAGAATCCATCTTGTTATTGCAAGTTCAGCCACAAAATAAGCTTTTGCATTTTCTGCAATTATTGGGATTTATGCCTTCCTGCCCAAGAGCTGAATTTGACCACCTATAATTTTTCTCATTTTGAGCAGTTTAGTTTTTCTGGTTTTCAGAAATGCAGCAAACTAGATCTGCACTAGTGTATTCAGTTTCTGTTTTGAAGTAAGATGAAATTCATTTTGTGAAAAAAAATCTCTTTCAATGTTCATCTTGGAAATCTAAATTCAGGTGAACAGACCAAGTTAGTGAGCTCCACTAGATACTGGGTAGACATTTTCTTCCTGCTGTATATTTTGGCCTTATGTTGAGGAGTTTGATTTATTATTAAATTATTTGTGTATGCAGACTTCAATCTGTACGTATTTTATTTTGATGTATTAGGATTTGTAAATATTACTGATTTTTAAATATTATTTATGCACATACTTAAAGGACTGGTCTATCCAGAAAAGCAGTTGCTAAATAATAAATGTTACTTTTTAGAAATAAATCACAAGATCATGAAATTGTATATCCCTCAGGGTTATTTTTAAAGTTTTTTTCCTTCCTTTCCCTTCAGAGTCAATTAGTAGTAACTCTAGTTTCATGTACTATAGAACTAAATCTACTGTAAAAACAAAATGCTGCAAATAATGCTTGAATAGAAGCGGCTGAAAAAACCCACAGAACTGACTGTCCATATTCATCATAACTTTAAATTGGAAACTCTTACTGTTGCACTTTTTAAAAAGTTGTTGGATTTTTAATTCTATTTATTTTTTTCTTTCTTCATGAAGGTTGTGCTGAACAGTCATCCCAAATTGGGTAAATAATCCTGTACTGTATATGTGTATATGCAGTATAATACTAAGCAGATGTGGAGTCCTTTTTATGCTGCAAATTTTTAATGCTTATGTTGGTCATCACAAAATGAGAGAGCTCAAGTCCTGTAGGATTTCTCCCATGAAATTCTGAATTGTAAACTTAGGGTTTTGTATGTCTAAGGGAAAGCTGTGGGTTTTTGACAATTTTTAGAGTCTTGAATATGTTGATTTTATATACAGTAAAGCTTCAGGTTTTTAAAACTATTTTCAACAAACTGCAGCTTGTTTAATAATTATGTGAACCAGAAACTACTTAGTTTGTCATTAATTCCTCGAGCCTAACACAGATTAAAATGTTCATCATTACAGCACTCTCTAGAAGCTCAGCTTCCTTTTATTTTTAAATCTGAAATGATACTACATCTTTGTATTTAAAATATGTATTGCTGCTCTAGAATGGTACCCTGTTGTCAAGAGGCATACATAAATAACTGTACAATAGAATTGTAAATAGACTTGTAAATCATTTTTGTGACTGAAGCTCTTTGAAAATAAAATTAAAATGAACGGATATTTTAACTCTTCTCATTAGTTTCATGGAATTGTTTTAATTATTCTTTATAGAATTAGATGCCAAGCTTGTTGAAGAACACAGGTTTACTCCCTCTGATGTCATGGGATGTTGTTCAGTGGCTCTGTGTTTCTGCAGGTGGGGTGGGAGGAGTGCCTGCTGTGTCAGTGTCATGCAGGGGGATCACACTGACTGCAGCTCTACCTGGTGGCTTATGGGAGCCGTTCTACAGGCTTGTACGTGTGATAGCAGCTTGTTTCCACCTTTGGTTATTCAGATGTTCCTTCTGTTTGGACATGTGGGAGGCATGATCTCAGCTGTCACCATTGTCAGAGTCATCTTCAGAAAAATCATGTGGAAATGAAGACATCTTTTCTGTCCTCTGGCTCACCTTCCAGTGAAACGGTCATTGGCAGAGCACATTATTTTAAACTTGAAGACGAGATACTTAACATACCTTTTTACTTAATAACAAAAAACTTACTCTTTCAATTTCAAGCTTTTATTTTTACAACTTAGCTTTTCTCTTTCAGAATCTTACAGGTTTTAGGTTTTGTTGGCCTGCCACTCCAGAAGACTTTGAGGAAAAACAGAAACTAAATGTGTCAACCTTGGAATGCTTAGCCAAAGCACTAAGTAAAAATTCCCTTCATTCCTTACTGAAATTGCTTTGACTCCAATCCTGCAAGAAATTAAAAGTCAGAGCAGCTTTGTGAAGGTAGGAGCACTTGGTTTAAAGTCGATGTGTCCACTCCTTCAAAACCTATTTAGCAGACCGGTGACAAATTTGAAATTTCTGATCACATCTCACATTGAAATGTAGATTTCTGACTTCACTCAGATTTGCTTTGGGTTGGCTGAAGCATATACTCCAATATCCCTGCCAAAGAAGCTACAAGTGGGTTTTCTGCTGTTGGGTGTGTGACTTAAAACTTTCTCCTGTTATGTGAGCGGCTTCAAGCCCTACTTTTGGAGTTACAACCTGTGGAAGTTGGTTGCTTGAACAATTGTAGGCAAAAATCTTCTCTGAAGCTTCAAATATTGTTTGGCCTCGGGCCTGTCTCAGTAACCAGGCGCATACGGGTGAAAGTGTTATCTAGAGGATGCGTTCTGCTGTTTTACTTCCCATTTAAAGTGCACTGTCATGGTGAAGCCTGATTGCCTGCTCTGCTCCTAGTGAGTTCCTTTAAAAAGCAGATAAGTTTCTAAGGTACAGCTCAAAATTTCTTTTTCTTGCTTGTATGAGTTTAGGAACTTGCAAGACAGTAAAAGAGGTAAGCACCACTGTAAGCAATACATGTGCTCAGTGTTCTGTAAGCTCAAAACTGATTTGAGACTTCTGATATAGTTACAGTATTAATGTATTGCCTCTGGCATCCTTTTGTAGTCTTGAGAAATATTTGGGGGGTGGGGCTAAAAAGGAAAGAGGCTATAGATCAAACTTGGGTAAATGACCAGCCAGGCTGGTGCCTTTTCTGGAATGCCAAGTGTCTCGTGTGAGGGTTTGAGATAATTTTAAGGCATGAGAATGTATAATTACGATCTTTATTGTGGGTATTACTGTATTCTGTATTGTTAAAACCTTTAAATGCTTTTTAAAAAAATACTGTTAGCAGCTCTAGATGTTTGAGACCCATAGGCTTTTCCAGTTCTTGTGACAGCACTTATAGCCTTCATATCTTGCAAAGAGTTTCTGCCATTTTGCTGTTTGTTTGTCTGAACTAGTGCTTTCTAGCATTTCTGAGCATCTAAACTTGTCTTCTAGTATCTTATCTTTTGCTATAAGACCAGGAAAACAGTCATCATGGACCTACAGGCTAGTGTTAGTCTGTTTCTGATTTTACAGAGTGCTCTATAGTCATAGTTTCCAAGGGACCTGCATTTGCAGTTTCTAGCATAACAAATTGGGTATTTTTCCATCCATTTGGTTCAAGTCAGGGCTTGAAACAGAAATTTTCTTAATGTGTTTCTGGATGGAGGGTTCTGCTTGTGGGGATAGGTAGGATCAGAGACAGGCTGAGTTGCAAATTCGTTGAGGTAAAAGCA